AATTTTAACAAATTGTACATGTTAGCATTTACTAGGTATTCTAAATCAGTGCTTCTCAAAGTGTGGCCCCCAGAGCAGTAACATCAGCACCACCAGAGAACTTGTTTAGAAGTACAAAATCAGCCTACACTCCAGAACTCTGGACTCAAACTTTGAGAGTAGAGCCCAGCAATCTGTGTTCTAACAAGTCTACTATTGTTGTAAGAAAAAACTAAAGCACACTTTTTTTATGCTATCTTAAAAGACAGAGGGGAGGGAATTGGGGGGCTGGGAGAAAGGGGTGAGGGCTTAAAGAAGTACAAATTAGTAGTTGATAGATGGTCATGGGGATGGGGAACATGGCATAGGGGATGTGGTTAGCATTAATGTATCAGCTAGGTAGAGAGCCAGAGGAGAGAAAGAGCAATCAGGGGGATCATTTTATAAACTATATAAATATCTAACTAATGTATTGTATACTTGAAACTAATATAATAAAATTTAAAAAAAAATTATACTCTTGAGAACCCCACCAACTAGTTATTTTTATTTTTTCTCAACTATTAAAATTTTTTTTATTCTTTGCATGACATCTCTTGGTATCTGCAGTATTTTATATGTCTGGATCAAATTTCAAAATCTTTTAAATTATTTATTGTTTATGCAATGCTACAGCTTGAATACTGGGACATGTATCTTCATCACTGCATGTCTTCAATTGAAAGTTAATCTAATAAAAATTCCACCAATTTCTTGTAACTTAGATTATCCGCCATTCACCTTTTATAATTGAATCAATAAATTATTCAGCCTTATTTTTTTGCATGTCTAATCTTTTTTTTTTTTTTTTTTTGAATAAAGAATGGAAATCCCCCTAACAATGTTTGCTAAACTTTCAGTACAAGTTTTTGAAAACTCGGTGTTAAAAATCTAGTAGAAAACTAGCAGGGTTCTGTCTCACTTGATACTGAGTCCCAACTGGAAACCTGGGAAACACCATCTCTTGAATAATCAGTCATTTTCCTACTGGTTAACACCCTCGCTCATATTCCAAAGAACCTTTAATGGTGATGATTGAGCACAACCCTGCTGAGATAAGTGCATGAAAATTTGCACGTACATTTAATGTCAGCAAATTTTGAAAACTTTCCCCACTATTTTGCAAAATAATTTCAGAGGTAATTTATCTTTACATCTGACTAATTTCCATTTGGCTCTACAAGGCTAACCTCAAGTAAACTCTGATTAATGCAGATGAGGTTTGTCTGTGATGCCATTCCACTTTTTGTTCTTTTAAACCTCTGTCTGGGCCTGCCTATATTCCTACGGTAAGAATCTCTTACCCTCCCCTCACTACGATCAAGGTCCTTTCTCCAGATTCTTGGCTATTGCGGAGTCCTCACTGTGAACCATGGTCATGATAGTCACCCTCCCCTCTTCCCTTCCATACATGCAAAAATGAAGCTGTAGGGTTTTGTCAGTTTGATACACTGACAAAGGTGTTAATGGATTTAAATAGAATAAAACAGTCTCGATTATACTCAGCCTGGTTTTTGCACTTCTTTTAAGAAAAGCTTTCATCGAAAAGAAGTAAAACAAACTAGTTTAAGTTTCAAATCAAAAAAATGAAGGAGGGTTAGTGTTGGAGCTCAGCCAATTGGCTCCCTTCTCTGGGGTGAAGAGGGCTCTCTAAGGCAGTGATTCTCTACCCGGGGAGTGTTGAAAATCATGCTGAGGCCAAGGCCCCATCTCCAGAAATTCTGATTTAATTGGTGTGGGTCCTGGAAGGGACATTGGTAGTTTTAAAAGTTCCAGGCTGTTATTTAATATTGTTCTCCCCTTTATCGTGCATTAGAATCACCTGTAGGGCTTTGTTAAAACAGAATTTCTGGGCCCCACCCCAGAGTTTCTGGTTCAGTAGGCCTGGAATGGGGCCTGATAATTTGCATTTCTAACAATTCCCAAGGGATGCTGATACTGTTGGCCCAGTACCACATTTTGAGATTCCTTGCTCCAGTGGAAACTTAAAAACCACTGTGTTAGGTGACTTTTGTCTTGCCCCCAAAATACTGCCACCCTCCCTTTTAAAACTACTTTTTAAACTTTAGAATAATTAAAAACATATTTTCTTTAATTCATTTTACTTTATCATCTTCAGTCTTCGAAAGCTCTCATTTTATTTTAATTTTTTTATTTATTATTTTTAAAAATAATTTTTATTTTTTCAATTATAGCTGGCATAATATTATATTAGTTTCAGGTGTACAATATAGTGATTAGACATTTATATAACTTACAAAATGATCATCTCAGTAATCCAGTACCCATCTGACACTATACATAGTTATTATAATATTATTGACTATATTCCTTATGCTATACTTTACATCCCCATAACTATTTTGTAACTATCAATTTATATTTCTTAATTCTTTTCCATTTTTTCACCCATCCACCCCCAAACCCCTTCCAGTGTGGCAACCCTCAAAATGTTCTCTGTATCTATGAGTTTGTTTCTGTTTTGTGTATTTGTTTATTTTGCTCTTTAGGTTCCACATGTAAGTGAAATCATATGGTATATGTCTTTTTTTCTGTCTGACTTACTCCACTCAGCACGATACCCTTTAGGTCCATCCATGTTGTTGAAGATGGCAAGATTTTATTCTTTTTATGGCTGAATAATATTCTGAGTAATATTCTCTTCTTTATTGTTAATTGTTATCCAGTTGCCTCCTTATCTTGGCTATTGTAAATAATGCTGCAACGAACATAGGGATGCACATGTCCTTTCAAAGTAGTATTTTGGTTTCTTTGGATAAATACCCAGAAGTGGGATTACTGGGTCTTCCTTTGTCTCTTGTTATAACCTCTGTTTTAAAGTCTATTTTGTCTGGTATAAGTAGTGCTACCCAAGATTTTTTTCTTATTTCCATTATCATTATCAGAGGAGAATTGTTAATCAAGAGTGCTTTGGGGGTGGCAGGGCAGAAGGACTTCAGTTACAAAAAGGCCCTATACTATTACTACCATTCCATACTTTATATAACCAAACATTGCATTTATTACTATTGTTTAAAAAGAAATGATATATAAATACTATAATGAATAATAATTAAGCTTGCTTTTTCTTGTAGTGATACTGATTTTCTATAGAGCAGAAAATTTCTTTAGAGCATTTATTATCCTTGAGGATAAAACATAGTTAACACATATTATAGTAGGGAAACATTGTAAATTCTTCATAGATTACCTTTAAAACTGGATAAAACTATGGGGATAAAATATAAAGGATTTGTTTCCCATGGGTTTCCTGGGTTCAGATTTTTTCTAATTTTACTGTTTTAATACAATCTTTTAATATATTTTACTCTCTCAGCAAAGTTAAGAGATATCCTTAAATCTTTGTGACTGGCTTTCAAATACTAGCAAAGCAAAATAATAAAATAACCTGTGCCAAAAATAAACATATATGTTGATTTTTAACTAGCTATTATGTTCTGGAAGGCCGTCAGTTTTCTGATCCTTTGATGTGTTTGGAGCACAGACCTTGTAATTAACTCACCAAACCTATTCTGAGGGTGTTTGTGATGTTGCCCTGGGTATCACACTTATTTTTATAAATATTTCTATATTTATTTTTATTACTGTCCAATTTATCTTATATTAGCCTTGGAGAAATTGTAAAGACACATGTAACTGGCAAATGCCACTAATTTTAGTATGAAATAAGTAAAACTTATTTACTATTTAACTAAGGAAGAGAGTACATATTATTGCTGTGTCTTTAACCCTTCTAAATCTTCCTTTAACCACAGAAAACACACCTATGCCTCTAGTGCCTGTAGTACTTGGTACAATGTTATGTATGAATGTTTTATAAATACTGGTTGAACTGACTTCGACCCCAATTTTAGGCTCCCTGTGTGACTGCTCTGACATTCCTTCCTCTCAGTAGAGAAATCTATCAGATGAAGAAGCTCTATAGTCGATTGCCCTCAGAAAACCATTTTCTCCTGAATTAGAGTAAACTTTGATCCAAGGGAGCTTGCACAGTACCAGATGTAGTAGGAAAATATGTTATGTTCTCTTTTCTGGATTTTGTTGCGTTTATGGCATTTTGCATCTTTTTAAAAATTTAAAATTTGTTTTTATTTTAAATAAATATTCATTTTCATAATGAATTTGTACTTTTTTCATTGTTTAAAGAGAACTCTCAGATTGTATAAGTTCTGTGCCTCAGAAAACCTGTATTTGTCCTTGATTCTACCCATTCCCCGCTATGCAGCAGTGAAATAGCGATTATTGGTCCACAGGAAATCCAATTAAAACAAACCAATCCCCTTCTCTTGCTTGTGATTGGTTTAAGGGTGGACGATCCCTCTCTCCATTGGCTGTAAACCAGAAATCACCGTGGCCCCAGTTGCTGTTGGCAGGTCTGAGGTCTAGACTGCGGCCAATTCAAGAGGGTGGCAGCACTGAGAGAACCTCAGAGCTGAGGGAACTCTGCTTGAAACCAGGTTTACTTTTGGGTGTGCAGTATACAGGCTCTTTAGTATTTATAATCGAATTAGGGCTTTCAGAAGCAAAGCTAATCCTTATATTTAATTGAATAGTTTAAAATGCAAAACTAGTTTAAAATGTAAACACATGTGAACAATAGTGCCCAATTTCTCTAAAGAATTTTTCATCTATATAGAGATCATTCTAATCCTTACATCTTTAACACTTCATAACGTTGGATGTTTTAAGCCATTAATTTATTAAATACTGTTAATTTACTAAAAAGCTACTTATTTATTCAATGTGAAAATACAGAAAATTAAGAATAAGAAAAAGTGAATTTTAGGAATACTTACGGAAATTTTATTATTTTGGTGTAGCTTCTTTTGATCATTTTTCTACATCCATGTTTTATGTTTTAAAAAATCATCATATTTTATATATTTATATATACACATATGTACACATCTATATTTATGATATATATTACTCATATAGCTTACTTTTTTCTCTAATTCTAGATAACGGAGCAGTTCATCACAGAAAGGCTTCCACATTTCACATCATCGTCTACGTGAATGGTGTCCCCTGGAGCTGTGCAGCAAATAGTCTGTTTGGCAGTATGAGGCAGCCATTTGTGTCTGGGTGCCTGAGTCTTCAAGGTAACTTGTAGTATTTTCTTGGACCATTCATTTAAACTATGGACTTAAGAATAAAAGGCATGGCAAATCTTTCCTGGCTGCCTTACAGTAACACCATATAAACTCAATATTTAGCCTTTGTGCTATTTTTTTCTCAGGCCGGCTTTGTCTGTAGCTATGTCTCACAGCTCTCCTCTTACAATGTTACACCTATACCTTTTCTTCACCTTGGGATAATCTACTGATTCCAGTGGATGAAAAAGAGTGTTAAGTAAATTAACCTCATGGCTGTTTCAATGACTGCATTTCATCATTACACCATTTTACATAATTCCAATTTGACTTCTTTCTGCCAGTTTGTTTGGATTGATTTTCTGTTTATTTTCAGGAATTGACACTTATTATCCTTGCCCTGTGTCCAGCAACAGTTGATCTTCATGATTCTAATCTTTTTGTCAGAATATGAAATATTGATCATAATCCTATAAAGGCACCTAAATATTGGTGAAAGCTAAATTATAATCACTTATAATGGCAAAATATCATATTTCTCTGATAATGAAAATGCTAATTTTCAATAACTACAGAATTATTTTTATGCTTAATTTATAATTTTTAGTCCTCTGAATTTCTGTCAACTTCTCTTAAGCATATATTTCACCAGTATAGCATGTAGGCAGATGAGGAATTACTCAGAAAAACTGTACATAGTTCTCTGTTGATAGCATTAACTTGGGGACAATGGATTGTGCAATAAAACTTATGTCTCCCCTCCACTCACGGTTCATGAAACGTTTAGTTTTCTAACTTGTATTTTATGCAAACAGGATTGACTCTTCAGACCAGGCTTTAGAGAAAGTGCAACAAATGAAGCAATTTCTCAAAAGGTTAAGCCCCTCTTCTACAAAAGGAAAGGAAGGGGAGAGAATTAGAAGGGAGAGAAGAAGAGCGGGAGGACTAGGTGGTTAGGAAAACGAGCAGGCAAGGCAAGAGAAGGCAAAGAAGGAGGGGCAGGGGTGAGAAAGGCAAAACAACCTGGGCAGTTCTGCTTAAAAGTTTGGAGACATTATCTACTTGAACCGATGTAGAAATCAGGCTTTACCAGGATTGATCTTTGTTCTAATCTTTCTCTTGCAATCAGGCCATCTTACGTATCAAATATTATATGGAGGAAAAGTAGACATTAATTACGATATTTTTGAGACTACAGAAAACCTGGGTACCTATGGAAATTATCTGAAAGCTCTGTAACATTATTAACAAATATTTTACTTAAATGTTCTTCACTACAAGACCTCTGTGGAGAGTACCACCAAATATGTATATTAATCCTATTTTTCAGAGAGCTCCACAGAAGCAGAAAATATATACATTGTGCTCAAACTATCTGCACTATAACCCTCTATGTTGTTGGTGTGTTTGCAATTTTGTGGGCCAGTAAGACTTTCAGTGGCTCACTAGACTTTATGAACCAAGATATAGAATTGGGTTACCCAGAGACCACTCTAGCTTTAAGATTGGAATGAGGGGGACATGGGGAAGTCACACTTACCTCTCTGCTGCCCACCTTCCTCCTCCCATAGCCATGTACCTGGCTGGGGTGAGGGGGTGAATGGGGATCCAAGAGCCGTGGTACTATCAACAACCCATCGGGTTCCTTTCATGAACACATAGATGCTTTTCTAAATCTAGCAGAAATCTGACTCCCTCGCTTGATCGTTTCACTTATGGTCAGAATCATAGCACATGAACTGGCACGGCTGCTGGGAATTGTGAGTCACTCTTAGGTTGTTCCTGGTGTTGGAGCTAGGCTCAGCAGAGGAAGAATAGCAGTCTGTCAGGTGAGCTCATCCCTGTCATCATCGTTGTCTAAGCACCAACTTCCTGAGAGTCTAGGCAATGTGTGTGAAAAGAGCCCTTGTCAAATTCCAGGAATATCGCTGTCTCATTATGTGACCTTGAACAAGGTCACATAAGTTCTTGGAGCCTCAGTTTCCTTGGTTAAAATGGAGAATGGTCCCACAGAGTTGATACCAAAATTTAAACAGTTAATGTATGGAAAAGTACTATGCAGATATAGACAAATAAAAAATTGTAATACCATGGACATAATATAAAACATATTGGATATTATTTATGTCCTTCACATTTGCAAAAAAATTTAAAACATCTACAGTATAGTAGAGGAGAAAGGAATGACTCATAAAAAAAGTAGGTGACCATTCATAGATCATTTATTCATTCAGCAAATATTTATCAGTCACTATTCTATGCAAGGCCTGCAAGGCACTGAGAGGATACAAGAATATATGATATATGGTTTGTCCTTAAAGAATTTATAATCTAGGAGGGAGAAAATTAGACATACACACAAGTGATTAACAAGATAACAATTATGTGTGTAAAATGTAAACATAAAGTAACTATTATGGCAGTTCAAAACAACGTAATCCTGAGGAAGGTTTAATGTAGAAGGAAGGCAATGGAAGCCAGTTCCAACATGTATTGAGTTCCCAGTTTGTGCACTGCTCTAGGATCTGTATATTCAGTGAGAACTCCCAGCCTGAGAAAACTGCCTGAGCCAAGAGAAGGGGGCAGGAATTCACATATAGCTCAGGTAGAGGCAGAGCCCTAATGAAGATGATTGACGTGAGTGTAATGGCTTCAAATATAAGCCCAACATTTCATCTTTGTCTTGCAGATAACGAACATAATGCTTCCTATGAAGCCCTTAAGAAGGAAAAAATATTTTTTAAAAATTTTTATTTTGCTTATAGGCTCATAAGTGGGTTGCTCTTATATAGAACTGGATTAACTCTGAATCTGGGAAAGATTATGTAAAAATTTTTCATTTTTGCTAATAGAATTTCGACTTTTGTTATATGCTCATCTGGAGCCCAAAACTTCTGGAAATTTCTTAAGGCAGTAAAATGTAGTAGTTGAAGTTTTTAGTACCAGTCTTTTATTAAAAGAGGACTTTGAACAATTGATAATTGACAGATCCCTTGGTTAAGGGATTATGGTTGTCTCCTTAATCCTCCAAGCCACTAGCATTCAAGCTTTAATGTTTGCATCAGTCAGGAGAAAAGAAACCACACCAGTTATTTTAAGAGAGAATTTATATAAAGAATCAGTTATATAGATGGTGGAAGACTAACAGGGCAAAAAGGAATAAACCTAACAAAAAGAGAGTACTTTCAGGAAACAGTTACCACCACTAGGCCTGATGGAGGCAAGGGGAAAAGATTGGGTTGTTAGATCCTAGAAACTTGGAGGAATCCAGTCCTCTGAAGTGAAGAAGCTTGTCTGGATGGTGCTGGTGCCTCAGGAACTCAGAGATCTGGGACCCAGATTTCAGAAGATACTGGTGCTCTTAGGGAGCGACTTGGGGCTGGTTCTGGGAGACAGAAACAAAGTGGAAACTGGAACCAACTGCTACCTGAAAGTGCTGAGGTGAAGAGCTGCAGCTGGGTGACACTGACAGGAATAGCAAGAAAACTGGAAGG